GCCCAGCCCCTGGCGTCCGGGAGAGGAATGCAGGGCTCCGAGAGCCCTCCCGGCCTGTCTGCCAGCAGCAGTCTAACCCAACCTCCATTGTCTAGGCTGTGTCTGGAACAACCGGGGAGGCTGCGCCCCTCCTGCGATGAGCACAGGAAGCGGCAGCAGAAGTGAGGCCGGCGAAAATGCTGACCCAGCACAGGCAGATCGTTTCTATTCTGATGCCTCGCCCTCCTCTTCTGCCCGGCTCCTCAGGCCAGGACAGTGTCTACACTTTAAGGAGGAGGAAGAAGAGGCAGGAAAAGTGAAAGAAAGGAAGGGAGGTTCCACCCTTGAGACGAGACCAGCCTGTTCAGCTGGCCCCAGGGTGTCCAGTCCAGTTTCCCACTGTGAGAGGGGGAAGCATCTGGAAGGTAGACATTGGAAAGCATCTGATAAACTTCAGCGCCCGTGGGTGACACAAAATCTTGGCAAAAGAGGAAGAGAAAGAAATGTCCTCAACTTGATAAAGGACATTTACCAGAAAATGACAGCAAACATGTTGCCTGCTGGCAAAACTTTGGAAGCATTCCCCTTAAGATCAGGAACAAGATGGCTCATACCTGTAATCCCAGCACTTTGGGAGGCAGATTGCTTGAGTCCAGGAGTTTGAGACCAGCCTAGACATGCAAAAAAATGAAGTAAAAAGCTTAGAAAGGAAGTGATAAAACAGTCCTTCAAGATACTTCAATCATCTACTCAGAGTGCATGAGTCAGTTTTTTGTTTTTTTGGTTTTTTTAAGTCCGGTTCTCACTCTGTCTCCCAGGTGGGAGTGCAGTAGCACAATTTTGCCTCACTGCAGCAACAACCTCCTGGGCTCAGGCCATCCTTCCACCTCAGCCTCCCAAGTAGCTGGGACTACAGGCATGCACCACCACGCCCAGCTAATTTTTTTATTATTTTTTTGTAGAGACAAGATCTTGCCCAGACTGATCTTGAACTCTTGGGATCAAGCACTCCTCCTGCCTCAGTCTCCTAAAGTGCTGGGATTATAGGCATGAGCCTATACACCCAGCCAGAGCTCATTCTTTTTTTTTTTTAAGTCAGAGTCTCACTCTGTTGCCCAGGCTGGAGTGCAGTGGCATGCTCATGGTTACTGAAACCTCAGTCTGCTGGGCTCAGGCGAGCCTTCTGCCTCAACCTTCCAAGTAGCTGGAACTATAGGCAAACACCACCACATCCGGCTAATTTTTCTATTTATTGTAGAGATGAGGTCTTGTCAAGTTGCCCAGGCTGGTCTCAAACCCCTAAGCTCAAGCAATCCTCTCGCTTTAGCCTCCCAAGGCTGAGGCGAGTGGATTGCCTGAGTCCATGGGTTCGAGACCCACCCAGGCAACTTGGCAAGACCTTGTCTCTACAGGCATGAGCTATCATGTCTGACCCAGAGTCCATTCTTGAATGAGCACTGGATAGAGTCAGGTGACCTGGGGTAGAGACTGGCCCTGGCCATGACCTTCCTGGGCAATTCTGGGTCTCAGTTTCCTCATGCATAGCTTGAGTGATGGGATTAGACCAATTGTTGGCAGACTGTGCTTCACTGAGCCTAGAGGTTCCTACCAGGGGTAAAAAGAGGCCAACAGGCGACCCTGAGTATGCCATTCTCTTCAAGGACTGAGCTATAGTGAGCTTTGTCTTACATGTTAGGATTTCTAATAAGAGTTTATTTGGGCCATGCTCCATGGCTCTGCCTGTAATCCCAGCACTTTGGGAGGCTGAGGCAAGTGGATTACCTGAGTCCATGGGTTCGAGACCCACCCAGGCAACTTGGCAAGACCTTGTCTCTACAATAAATAAAAAATTAGCTGGGCATGGTAGCATGCGCCTGTAGTTCCGGCTACTTGGAAGGCTGAGGCGGAAGGATCAACGGAGCCCAGTAGGTCAAGGCTGCAGTGGCCGGGAGCATGCCACTGCACTCCAGTCTGGGCGACAGAGTGAGACTCCAACTCAAAAAAAAAAAAAAAAAGAGTTTATTTGAACAAAGGATTCTGTGCCTCAGAAAGGCTGAAAATCACTGACTACACAACCAGGGGGACAGGCCCCTATGTCCCCAGCAGTCAGAGAACTACAGCGATTTGAGAAGCAGAAAGACTGAAGACTAGCGGGTTGGTTAGGAGGCAGGGAAACGGGCACACCCTTAGACCATAACAGGAATGGGAACCAGAGACACACTTTGGAAAAGCCACTTGGCATCCTCCGAAAATGCAAATGCGTGTCCATTTTAGCCTGGCAAGGTATCCGGCAGAACTGAGCCGGCAGGAGCACGCCCACGTCTGCAAAGACGCACACCATCACAGGATGTCCTCAGAAGCACATGGTGGTGCAAGGCCCCTCCACGAGCATACCCCTAGCTTGGCCTGACTCATTCTAGGGACACCCAAAGCCCAGGTGAGCGGAAGTCTGAGTCTGCACCACGACCAGGTGACTTTCATTTGTAAGTCCAGACCCTCTCATTCATCGCTTCCAGGCTCCCCTCTGCTTTTGTGTGTTTGTTGTCTCTCAAGCTCTCTTGCCCAGGCTAGAGTGCAATGGTGCCATCACAGCTCACTGCAGCCTCAAACTCCTGGGCTCAGGCCATCCTCCCTCCTGAGTAGTTGGGACTACAGATGCGAGCCACTGCACCCAGCCCAGGACCACCCTCTGAAGCTCAGAACTCTTCATCCTCATTGTAAGGCAGGCCACAAACCAAAAGAGGTTGAGCTCCCAGGTCAGACCTAGGATCTGAGCCTTCCCCAGTCATCAGCTATGCGACCTTGGACGAATCACTTCACTTATTCATCATCAATTTGCTGAGCAGGGATGGTTTCCTCGTCAGCAAGATGAACCTGGTCAAACCAACTTTGTAGTGATTTTTCACAAGAAATCATTTACAAAAGCAAACTGAAATATTGACTATATTTATGTTTCAGACCCTTGACTCAAACAAATTCCTTCTAAGCATCCTTGCTCAAGAGTCAAAGCCCTGGCCTCTCGCTGGACTAGACCACGGTTTCTTTAACTCTCTCACACTGAGGGCATGTGATTGGTTTCTTTTTTTCACTTATTCTAAACAACACTAACATGAACATCCTTGTACATCCATCTTAGCGCCAACACACAGGTATTTCTGTAGCCAGGTTCCAGAAAAGGATTTCTGGGTCACAGGGCAGGCATATCTACAACACTGCTAGATGCTGCCATATGACCCTTGAAAAATAACTTTTTTTTTTCATTTGGAGTCTCACTGCTGCCCAGGCTGGAGTGCGGTGACACAATCATGGCTCAATGCAGCCTTGACCTTCTGGGCTCAGGTGATCTTCTGTCTCAGTCTCCTGAGTAGCTGGAACTCCAGGTTTGTGCCACCACAACTGGCTAATTTTTTCTGATTTTTTTTTTTTGTAGAGACAAGGTTTTGCTCTGTTGCCCAGGCTGGTTTGGAACTCCTGGGCTCAAGCAATCCTCTCACCTTGGCCTCCCAAAGTGGTGGGATTACAGGCATGAGCCACTGTGCCCAGGCAAAAAAGGACATTTGTCTCCCACCCCAAGCTGCTTCAAACCAGACAGTGCAAAGAATCAGATCTGGACAAAGACAATATGTTCTTATCTTATGAGGGATCATGGGAAGAACTCAAGAGGGTTTCTAACTGGCTCCCCAGTCCAGAACTCTGCTGCAGGCTGGGCAGTGGGGAAATTGGCCTTTGGACCCAGCCTGCTTGACTTAAGCTAGACAGCAGGAAGGACTTCCTGAAAATGAGGGCTGGTTGGCTCGTGGAGAAAGGCCCAAAGAAGCTAAGAGACCAGCCGGGCTCGGTGGCTCAGCCTGTAATCCCGCGCCTTTGGGAGGCTGAGGTGAGTGGATTGCCTGAGCCTGCGGGTTCGAGACCTGCCTGGGCAGCGAGACCTCATCAAAAATCAGCCGGGCGTGGTAGCGCGCGTCTGTAATTCCGGCTACTCGGAAGGTTGAGGTGGAAGGATCGCTGGAGCCCAGCAGGTCGAGGCTGCGGTGGCCGGGAGCGGCCACTGCACTCCAGTCTGGGCGACAGAGTGAGACTCCCAACTCAAAAAAAAAAAAAAAAAAAAGCTAGGAGATTTCTCCCAGGGGTTTCTGAAAGTAGCCGGGGTAGAGGTTCATCTCTCTGGGATGGATTAAAGGGGAAAGAAGACAGTCTCTCCCAAGACCTTCTTATGCAAGAACCGAAGTATCCTTTTTATTTAGGGAAACAGACTACCCTGCAGGCCTTTCCCCCAGGGGCCAGAACGCGGCAGCGGGGCCCACCGGCTCCCTGAAATCCAGGCAGGCCTCCTCCTTCCCACTGTCAGAGGCAGCGCTGAGGCTGAGAAAGGACGAGCCACTTGCCCCAGGTGGCACAGCCAGGGCGGGGCAGAGCCAGACCTCCACCCTAGGGCCCCCACCAGGGCCAGGGCCTTCC